CAGTCCTTTTCGAGGTCACGTAGAAACTTCTGGGCATAATTTTGTATCCGAGGCTCCTCTGATTTGCTCAGTAAAACAGCTTTTCTTGCATACTCAAGCGCTTCCTTCTGAAAGTTGAAAACTATTTAAAACTGATGTTGAGGAGATATTTCTGATAACATTTTATTCTTACCTTCCGACCCACATGGTACAGAGCTTCTGCATAATTGCAGTAATAACCAGGAATCATACTCGCACATTCATTCACGTACAATATTCGGTCAATGCCAATCGCTAAATATTTTAAAGCTGCTTCGAATCTGAATAAGCCCAACATAACTACTAGTAGGAAATATTGAATTTATTCTACTTTTACCTGTTTTTGAATATAAGGACTGCACCAAAATTATTGAGTAGATTGATAGTATGGAATGAATTAGAGCCGTAGAGCTGATAACAGATCTTAAGAAGGGGAACACAGGTAAGCACTACAGCTAAGCAGACAAGAATTCAAACATTTTCTCCAATTTAAAGCCGCCTGAGCAACGTGAAATCTAAGTTACTCATGCTCTTAGAAGTAAATATTACCTTCATAACTTCATCCATGTACTCTTCCGCTTCACGCATCCGCTTCTCATCTCGATAAGTGACCTACAAAAAGTCAACGTTCAAGGTCTAACAGCTTCAAATGTAGATTTAGAACCCACTAAGAAATGGGCATATCGCTCTAATGCCATTCCAAATAAAGCTATAGGATCAGTATAAATTGGACCCTGCGTATCAGCAACATGTCTATCCTCTACGAGAGCACCTTGAGCAACGCTATACTTTTTCATGTGCTCGTCGACAACCTGCAAGGATAATAAATTATAAACTGGTAGAAGTGTTGCGCTTTTATAACTTTTAAAAATACCATCATTTGTTTTCGAACACAGTGCGAAAATCCAACTTCTGCATCATCTAATTGGCCTTTTTGAGCAAAGATGTCCGCCAATTTCAAAGAGACACCAATGAATTCTGGATCACTGTCACGTTTCCCGTGAAGGGTAACCAACCTAAGAAAATCAAGAAGTGAATCAGAGGTTATATTGGGAAGGGCAAAATTAGCTCACCGGTTTACTACTAACTGGAAGTACTTGAATGCATCATCAAGATTGCCCATTTCATAAAAAGTGTTGGCGAGTTCATCATAAACT